GCCAAACGCGGCTCCAAAATGGCGGCCGGACTCCCCAATCGTCGCAATGCGAGGTGCGGCGATTGGGTGCTCCGTATAGCGATCCCGAAAAAGGGGATCGCTATACGGATTCGTCGTTATACGGTGCGCTCGCTAAGCAAGGCGCCACTGTATATTGATGTAAGGGCCTAAAAAAAGCACAAAAGTTGAGCCTCACCTTAGTGTACTTTCATATCTGTGGCCCCAGTGATGAGGGCGAGAAACATCTTTTCAAAACTAAAAGAGAGTCTTTCTAGATTTCTGCTCCAAATCATAAACTTTCGTCTGAATCCACTGAGCCTTCGCTGAAACCACAGAATGGTTTGTTCATCTTTTGATACGGAAAGCTTTCACGTCCTCCCAGTTAGTGGGTTTAAGGGTCTGTGTAGGACATGTCTTGGTTTTTTTAGTTTGGAGTTCTCACCGTCAGTGTAGGGACCTTATCAAAAATAAAATAAAATGAAATTTTAAAAAGGTGTTTCCCCACCTCTGGAACGCCACAAATGTTTTCTTCGGCTTCTCACCCACATTCTGGACCACCTCTTTCCCTTCAGGGCGTCTTTCTTCACATCAGTAATCGGGACGATTTTGGACGCCTCCTTTCCACCTCCAGATACAACACGACCCGTCTTCATCCTGACCTCTGGCAGATCTCGGAGAATCCGCTGGTGAGCACCCGTCTGATTTCACACCCTTGGTAACCCCAAGACCCACCAGGATATTGTCCCTTGGCACACCGGTCTTCAGATTTTAGAGAGTCCTTGTTTGTGTTGGGAACCATCGCAGCCACGCTGGGAGAGAGCTGCCGCTAAGATTTCCCACTGGGCTCTGAAATAGCATTGCTGGGGGGGGATGCAAAATCATCTTTTTGCATCGCTTGGCCTTAATGATAAGAGATAATAAGCTATTTAAAACTTGAATTGAACAAGAGTTCTACTTTGCAGCCTGGCAAGGCTTTATCTTTGCATGGAAGAGGAACTCTGGTCTATTGGGAAGGTTTTCCAAGGAACAGTAGCTCCGGTTTGCAGACTGGAAAGCCTTTGCATCAAGCAGGGGTTCTGGTTTGCAGCCTAGACAATACTATTGCATACCTGAAAGCTGTTCACCTGGGTGAAGTTGATGAATATTACGTCCGGGGCTTCCCCCTGGATCCGCCCCAGATCGGACTTTGCTCTCCAGGCTGAAACGCCTTACCCCAAAGTGACGCTGTGTTGGAATATCACGGGAAATTAAAATAGTAGAGCCACCTAATCGAGCTTTGTGGATCTGATCGAACTGCAGTGCTGGCTAAGGAGGAGATGCTGGATCATTCTGGCTCCCACATTTTTCTCCTGAATGTTGGCTGTCGCAGTGTCTTGTAACACCAAAAAGGTAAAGGTAAAGGTTCCCCTTGACAATTTTTGTCCAGTCGTGTTCGACTCTAGGGGGCAGTGCTCATCCCCGTTTCCAAGCCATAGAGCCAGCGCTTGTCGGAAGACAATCTTCCGTGGTCACATGGCCAGCGTGACTTAGACATGGAACGCTGTTACCTTCCCACCGAGGTGGTCCCTATTTATCGACTCACATTTTTCTATGTTTTCGAACGGCTAGGTTGGCGGGAGCTGGGTGAAGCGATGAGACTCACACATATAGAGGGCCTTGTCTTGAATATGTCCAGAATTAAGACCCATTGGCTTTGCAAAAGACAGCGCTACCACGTCCCAAGTTAACACCAAGTTAATTCCAAATTTGTTGCAATAATGATCACAGGTGTCCCTTTTTTTCAAACTTTGCGTTTCTCCCTAGAGGCCAAAAGTAGGTAAGGATTGTCGTTCTGTTTCTCCCTGGCTTTTTGGTGGGTTGTCTTGTAACTCCATTTAAAAAGAGAGAGCCTTATTTACTTCCAGTATGTTCATCCCAGTTCATAAAGGGCTGCTGCTCCCCTTCCAGCCTCCTCTGGCTCCAACGGCCACTTAGCAGACAGTTCCCAGAAACCTGTTCACATGTTCCCAGAAACCTAGTCTCTATCCCAGCCAGATGTTCCCGCAGTGGGTACGCTGAACCTGTTTCCACCATACTGTTCTTTCTGATGTTTTCTTTGCAGCCATGAGGACCAGCATCTTGTTACTTGCCATAACACAAAAGCCAAAAGGCACTCCAGATTTTTAACTGTCGACATCTCCTTTTTTTCTCTCCTCCCAATTGTTCAGGACTGGCAGGACAAATACATCCACGAGAACTACTCCCGAGTGCTGGAGGGGGAGTATTACGAGCAGGTAAGGAGCCTGCTGTGATGGCATGGTGTTGTTGAGCTCTCGTCCGTCGAAACCGCTCCTCTCTCACCCTCTTGCCTCTCTGTTTACAGCCCTGCCCTGATGTTTATTGGTTCCCTGTGTTCACGGATCAGATGTGCGACGAGCTAGTGGAAGAGGTGGAACGTTTCGGCCAGTGGTCCGGAGGGAAGCATGAGGTGAGAGCCCGGAGCTATAGCGTTGGCTGTCCTTTGCTGCTGTCCTCCTTGTCCTGAAATCCGGCCTTGCCAGGCTTCTAGCCGGCTGAAAATTGTAATCTCTGCCTTACGGTGCAACATAGTTTGGGGTCTGTCCCATCAAGTCATAATACAGTGGGGTCTCTACTTAAGAACTTAATCCGTATTGGAAGGTGGTTCTCAAGTTGAAAAGTTCTTATGTTGAATCTGCATTTCCCATAGGAATGCATTGAAAACCATTTAATCCGTATCTGCTCTTTTCCTTCCATAGAAACTACAGTGGAACCTCTACTTAAGAACTTAATCCGTTTTGGAATGGTGTTCTTAAGTTGAAACGTTCTTAAGTTGAAGCAAAATTTCCCATAGGAATGGACTGAAAACCAATTAATCCGTTCTGGCTGTTTTTTTGTTATGTAGAGGTGCGTTCGTACATTGAAGCATTAGTTCCCATAGGAACTAATGCAAAGCTGGTTAATACGTACTCTACCACTAGGGGGAGAATTTTTTTTAACCTAAGATGACCTAAGGTTAAAAAAAGAGCAGGAAAGGTTTTTTCCTGTTCTTATCTTGGATTTCTGTTCTCAAGTAGAAGCAAAATTTAGCAAATGGAGCTGTTCTTAAGTTGGATTGTTCTTAAGTAGAGACGTTCTTAAGTAGAGACCCCACTGTAGAGTTACAGCTACCCTAACAAGGCTTTCAGGATGAGATACAGTGGTGCCTCACTTAGTGATCGCTCCGTTGAGCGACAAAATCGCTTAGCGAGGGACTTTTTGCCAGCGCAAAAGCAATTGCTTTGTGATGGTCCCTATGGGGAAATTTTGCTTTGCGATGATTTGCGCGGGGAAGCGATCATGGCAAAGCGACCCTTTTTTAACAGCTGATCGGCGGTTTCAAAATGGCCGCCGGGAAAACAAAATGGCCGCCCGCTGTTTTTCCTCGCTTAAGAGGCAGCGAAACTGGTGGCGCTATGGAGGATTTTCGCTTTAAGGTGAGTTTTTAAGCCCATAGGAATGCATTAATCACGTTTTAATGTGTTTCTATGGGCTTTTTAATATCGCTTAGCAACATTTTTTCCAGAATGGATTAACGTTGCTAAGCGAGGCACCACTGTATTTAAGGAGTGGCTTTATCACTTCCATGGCCACGTTTCCATGGCCAAGTGGGGATTCGAACCCAGATCTCCTGAGCCCATCACACTCTCCTGTGGGTGCTGAAAGTTAGCTTCCGTGTGTGATATTTTCATGGGCTAATAAATGTATCACCCACCATCATTTTTGGAGTGTATGTGAGGCAGCCCCTTTAATTTTAGCTTTAATTCTGCCCACAATTTTTTCCCACCAGCCACTGACATGTGGTCTTTTCCAGAGGGCTCAGCCACGTAGGCCTGTGGCACTGACGGGGGAGGAAAACCAGTTTCCTGTCCTTGATTCATCAAGTCATTTCTCACCTGATTTGTCTCATAATAGAAGGGGAAGATTTAATAATCGCCAGCCCTGACGTTCTGGAGGAGAAAGGAGATGTTAAAATTATTCATTGCAAGTTACTGGTGTTCTTGGTTACCAGATAGCAGTCAGTTCCAGGAGCTGGAATTCAGAGATGCTTCTAGGTGATTGCTTCCACAAACCCTCCACTGACTCTTGAACGGCAGAAAAATTCTACTCAGAAGTTTACAAAAAAGGGGGGTGAATTTCCCCCATCTCTGACCGCTCATGGGAAGCTATGCTAGATGACTTTTCGGGGGTCCTCCACTTCATTTTGTCCTGCCATGGTCTCTTCTAGGACACCCGGCTGGCCGGTGGCTACGAGAACGTCCCAACGGTGGATATCCATATGAACCAGATTGGGTTCGAGAGGGAGTGGCTCCAGTTTCTGAGGGACTACATCGCTCCTGTCACGGAGAAACTCTACCCCGGCTACTACACCAAGGTAACAGCCTCTGAGGGGGTGGTCAAGTAGCTGGGGCAGAAAATCGGGTTATCCTTGATGCCCGAGTGGAAGAGGAGAGTTGGCCTTAAAATGCATACTTCTGGGGCAGTGGTGGGCCAAGCACCGCTTGAAGGGAGGGGCCTCAGGCGCCGCAAGGCTGGTGGGATGTGTGTGTTTTGGTGGGGGCAGCTGCTTCTTTTTCGGGGGGGGAAATAGAATCACAACTCCTGGAAGGATCTCAATGGGGTGATTCCTTACTCTGTCGTTTAATGGTTAAAAACAGCTGGATAGTTCAGTGGTTTAAATATTTGACTATGGAGCTAGAGGTTGGAAGTTCGATTCCCCACTGTGCCTCCTTGACAACGGCTGGATTCACTGATCCATATGGTCCCTGCCTGCTCTGCCATTCTTAGATGATGATGGAAATATCCATTGTTGAAAACTGGAGATCTTTACCACTTTGGCTTTCATTCTTTCAATATGTTGACACTTTGGGTGGTTTGTGCAACCTCCAGAAAGTCCTGGGGTCCATCCCCATTGACTTCTGGCCCTGCCAAAGTTGCCTGCCCTATTTTAAGGTACAGTGGTGCCTCGCTTAGCGATCGCTCCGTTTAGCGACGAAATCGCTTAGCGACGCTGTTTTTGCGATCGCAAAAGTGATCACTTTGCGATGTTCTCTACAGAGTATTTTCGCTTTGCTATGATCGCAGGGAAGCGATCATCGCAAAGCCCCCATTTTCGCACAGCTGATGGGCGGTTTCAAAATAGCCGCCAGGAAAAAAACATGGCCGCCCACTGTGTTTAGGGATGGATTCCTCGCTTTAGAGGCACCGAAAATGGTGGCGCTATGGAGGATCTTCGCTCAGCTGTGAGTTTTAAGCCCGTAGGAACGCATTGAAGGGGTTTCAATGCATTTCTATGGGCTTTTTAATATTGCATAGCAGCGTTTTCGTTCTGCAGCGATTTTTGCAGAACGAATTAACGTCGCTAAGCGAGGCACCACTGTACTAAAGAATGCCATCTACCACATATACGATCTTATTAAGAAGTTACCAGTCATCTTGAATTTTAAGCACATTCGCTGTCCTCTTTGCAGTAGGTGTTTAACTGACAAGATATTTTTTCTCATGGCGCTGTGGTTGTGACTTTGTGGGCCTGTGAGAAAGCTGCAGAGCTACATCCAGAAAACCACACAGTTGAACCAGAGTGGTCCATGGCCCAAGCCGGGGTGTATCCCCCCCACCCCAAATTTCAAACTGAGGTTCTGCTGCCTGCCCCCTCCCATCCCTCATCCTGGGTTCCATTCAACCGGAGGGATCCGAGTTGATATCTGTCCAGATAAGCTCTTCAGAAGAAGTTTGAGATATTTGCATACCTCACAAGGGTGTTGTGAAGACAAAACAGAGGGAAGGCTGTGGATTTGGAAGGTCAAGAGGAGAAGAAAGTGGATTTGGGAGGATAGGATGGGAGAAAGAAAAGCTGTCCTTGCCGGTTTGCAAAGCTTTTTCCCCTGACGGTTTAGTTTTCAGTTGGTGGCCAGCTATTTCTCAGCCTGTTGATTATGCAGTAGTTACTCTGATTTCCCACAATGCCCTGGAGTGATACTCTTCCTCTTCCAAACCTGGGAATTGATGTGCATTGGTGAGGGAAAAAAGCCTGTGGGAATCACATTTTAGAGGAAGGGGGAAGTATATTTGGAGATTCCCAAAGGCAGAGAACGGGGCCGTTGTTCACTGGTAAATTCCCAAACATTACTAGAGCTTTTGGTTGTAGGATGTGTTAACATCTCGAGGAGGGATGATTGAATATCTGTGCAGTTTGTGCTATTCTTTTCGCCATTCCATGACATAGCTGGCTGGCTTCTGTTTTTCAGGCTCGGGCGATCATGAATTTCATGGTCCGGTACCGTCCAGACGAGCAGCCTTCACTCCGGCCCCATCACGATTCCTCCACTTTCACCATCAACGTCGCCCTCAACCGCAAAGGGATTGATTACGAGGTGAGCCTTGGATAGGAAATGTCTCACACAAAGCTTATTGGTGGGTACAGAGGAGCATAACAGAAGCCGAGACCGGGAGGAAATGTATATTCTGAAACCACAATGCTTAATTCAGTAACTCAACGGATTTTTTAAATACAGTGGTGCCTCACTTAACAACGATAATCCGTTCCAGGAAAATCGCCATTAAGCAAAAACATTGTAAAACAAAATTTAAAACCCCACTGAAACGCACTGAAACCCGTTCAATGCGTTCCAATGGGGTAAAAACTCACAGTCCAACGAAGATCCTCCATATGGCGGCCATTTTCGCTGCCTGTATAGCGAGGAATCCATCCCTAAACACAGCGGGGAGCCATTTTAAGCACCCGGTGGCCATTTTGAAACCACGGATCAGCTGTTTAAAAAAACATGGTTTTGCGAAGAATCGTTCCCAAAGCAGGGAACTGATCATTGCAAAGTGAAAAAAAAACTATTTAGACCTTCGTTTTGCGATCGAAAAAAGATTGTCGTACAGCGATTTCATTGTAATGGGGGCAATCGTTAAGCGAGGCACCACTGTACGTGATTGACTAAAATGGTGAGTCGGTTTTTGGAAGCACAGATAGCATGATTGGCACAAATACTAACTTGAATGTAAGCGAAAGGCTGTCACTTAAGGCAGCGTGTGGAGTGGTAACAGCGTTCAGGATTTAGAAGAAGGTTCAAGCGTTGATGGCTACAGGCTTTTAAACTTAGATGGCTATCTTGTGTGCTGAAGTGGAAATGATTATTATTCTATTTAACAAGGATAATAACCCATGAGATATTCCAGTTCTGTTAACTCCCTTGAGTCCCAACCTGTGGACCCCTGGTTTAGGGGAGGATGGGAAATGTAGTCCAATAACAGCCATGCCAGGAGATGCAGTCCCACGATGTTGTTCTTTCTGTCCCGCCCTGCAGGGAGGTGGCTGCCGGTTTATCCGTTACAACTGCAAAGTCGAGTCGCCGCGCAAAGGCTGGACTCTGATGCACCCCGGGCGCCTCACCCACTACCACGAGGGCTTGCCCACCACCAGCGGCACCCGTTACATCATGGTCTCTTTCGTCGACCCCTAACGCCGACTCCTCTGCCGTTCCCCCTCAGCTCCGGGGCGGTCAACGCACTGAAAGCAAAAAGACTTGTGTGAAGGAGACTTTTGAGGGGTGTGGTGTGGAATCGAGGGAGGCCTTCTCGTCCTCCACTGCCAGCTGCCTTGGTGCCTTCAAAGGACGATGGGTGGCTCCCTGTTCTGTCGCAGCCTGAACTTTGAGTTGCTACAAGCCACAGGAGCGATCGTTGCCACCTTGCAGCATCGACTTCCCTGCCAATTAACGGAGTTTGCGTGGGTCTGCCTCGTTGCCCCCGAGGTAGAGGAAAGACTATTCATTGTTTCTGCCTTTTTCTACGACAGGTGTCCTGTGTGCTAGTTTAACCTCCTACCAAATGCAGCCTAGCCCGCCTGCCCGCCCCGAGCTTGATTCTATTAACAGCAGCACCAGAAATCCCAAAACATCCGTCTCTTTTCTCACGAGGAGGCAGCACTGAGTTTTGCCACTAACGGTTCCCATCCTTTTTTTTTTCTTTTTGCCTTGGGGTTCTCTTACTCCGACTCTGATCCTGTTCTTGATCTCAGCAACGTTTTAGATCCCGTTTTGGCCACCCCCAGGTCTCCAGCGGTGCCCTTCCCGAAACAGCCCAGGTGCTTCTGAGCGACCACGAAAAGCACCTTCTGCCCTCTTGCCGCCACTCACACCCCTTCGAGGATTTAAGAAGAGCACGTTCCAGGTTTTGGTGCAGCTGGAATTCAGGCCCGTCTCTTGTTTCCCAGAAGGTGGAAATAAAAGTGGCCAGAAAGGAAGTAGGTGAAGGCAGGAACGCAGAAGGAAGCCTTTCAAACCAACAACTCTGATTTTCAGCCAACTCTGGGAAACGGGAGGTCATTTGACATGCACACAAAGGAAGCAGGACAGGAGCTGAAACAGGAGAAATCTCCATTTTGAAGACGGTGCTTAGTTGCTCTTCCGGTGCTGCAGAGGGTGCCTCCCATACATCCATTTTTTTGTTTTGTAAACTTTGAGATTGAGCCAAGAGAAGCCTCATGTGCATCTTGTCCATCTCTATGCAGCCCGTCTTGTGGGATAAATTGGCCTAAAGTGCTACTCAAGGTGTGATATAGCACCTCTTGCATTGAGGCGGAGAAGACAGTCCTTCGTGAGAGTGTTTTTCTACCTTGGTCCACGTGTTGCGAGCCAGGAACACCTTCCAGAGGCTACAGGAGATGCTTAAAAGCAAACAGCCTTCCATAGCCTTCCCTTAATCCTGTGGGGTTCCGACCGGCAGACTGGGCGTGCGTCGGCTGCTTCTTTTACCACACCGTGCATTAAGTTATTGTTGTTTTACAGTACACCAAATAAACCAGTGTTTTAAACCAGGTGTGGTTTTGTCCAATGTTTTGGAAATCTGAGGGGGGGGGAGAGGGAAGGGTTCTGTAGCACTGCCTTTTGGCCTGTCCAGATATTTTTATGAGTTACGTATCTGGTTGCAGAACTGGAGGTTGGGAGTTCGATTCTTCGTGGTGCCTCCTTTGAGTATAGCCAGCCTGTGTAGCCATGGGCAAGCTGCACAATCCCAGGGCGACTCCAGAAGAGAACGGGAAACAATTTCTGTATATTTTCTACCAAGAAAACCCTTGAAAAGAGTCTCCGTAAGTCAGAAATGATTTGACAACACATGGTTCTTACTATTATTATTATAAGTTTTTTTTAAGTCCAGGTTGCCGAAGTTCCCACCCAGCTTGGCTTGGGGTGGTGAGAGGGATTCTGGGTCTTAAAATATCTGAAATATCCAGAGGGCCACCGTGTGAGAACTACAAGGGGATTTATTTAAAAAGTACATAGCTCTTTCTGAAGGCTGGCCCTCCCAAGGTTTTATAACAAGACCGTCCCCATTCAAAAATCAAACTGGTTTCTTTCCATCCTTCTCTCTCCCTGCTCTTCTGTGTAGGAAACTGCAAAGTCCTATGCAGGATTCATCCTGCGCAGGAAAAGAGACAATTCTGTGCAGGAAAAGTTATAATCCTATATAGCCTTCCACAAGGGAAAAAAGTATCACACAGAGAAATCTTACTGCAAGGAGAAAAGGAGGATTCACCCCCTCCCGTTTTTCACCAAGAGCAAGAGATGGTGAGATTCTCGGCACTGCACACTATACAGGAAGTTGTAATACTCTGGTCTAATAAGAAGCAGGAATGGGGCAACGTGGCTTTCTTGGTGTTGCTTGAGTATCATTCCCCTCCTCCTGCTCCTCCAGCGAGGATGATAACAAACACGGCTTAGTCCTTGGTGGGTGGGACCTGAGGTGGAAAACTGAACCACTCACACACACGCATGTGTTTTCTTTTCCGTATCATCCTCATATTTAAAAAAAAAAACGTACAAGCAATTGTGATAGGAAAAAAAACCACACACACACACACACACACATGGGTTTTCTTTTCCGTATCATCCTCATATTAAAAAAAAAATGTACAAGCAATTGTGATAAGAAAAAAAAACACAATCAGGACAACAATGCAGAAAATATGGTACAGAATAAATTAAAAGATTTTCTCCCCCAACCCCCCAAAATCTCCGGATGCTACCAGAGCTCTGAAGAATAGGCAGCGCTAAAGGACAGGAACGTCTTGGCCAGCATGGAGGGAGGGTGAGGAGGGCATCAGATTAATAAATACAAGCTGGTCCGTGGCCGCGTTTCCCAGGTCGAAGTGAGGAAGGAGAACTATTTTGAGGCACCCCCCCCAAAAAAAAGTGTGTTGAAGAAATAGAAACCTGACGAGCTGAAAATCGGGACGACGGGTGGCAGGGATGACGACGGGTGGCAGCGCTATGCGAGGAAGAAATACGCCGATTTTTTCAAGATTGAAAACAAGGCTCTAGAGATACACCTGCAAGGAGGAGAGGGTGCGGGTTGATGTACAAATTGAGGTAGAGAAGACCTGCAGGAATACTAGCCGTCTGTGTCAGGAGCCCTAGCAGAGCCTCCGTTTTTGAAATGCAATGGGGCAGGGGATGGCCGAAGGTGGCCGTGCCGATGGCCAGGTTTCTGACAAGGTCAAGAAGGAAAAGGCACACACAGCCGGGAGGGCGGCCCTATTGCGCCTGGGGCAGAAACTGCTGGCTGTGCCGTTGTGGGGCCCCCAAGAAGTTCACAGTCCTGCAAGGCGTTCCTGGTTCTACACAGGTCTTCGTAGGCTTCTCCTCTGGGCGGAAGAACGGCATGCTTCGTCTCCTGAAATCCCAGCAAGCCCCTTGAGAAACGTGAAAGAGGTCCTCCGTTTGGCAACGTCGCTTAAGAATTTTCCTGGCTTGGATTAATATAGGAAAGAATATTTGTGTCCCAGAAGCCGGTTGGAACCTCATCTCCTGCATCACCTACCTCTCTCTGCCCAAAGCTTGGAAATCTTACCTTTTTGGACCACAGCTTTCAGAATCCACAAGCTGGAGGATTCTGGGAACTGTAGTCCAAAAGGAGTAATTTCTTCAGGCTCCCCTTGTGCTTCTCAAGGTTCTCACACCTAGAGA